AGATATTTTATATAGGAAATACCTTTACTGTTTTAAGTGTCCTTATTTTAGTTTAGTATATTTCTGTTGTGTCTATATTATATATTATAATGTTATTCCAGTAATAGTTTTTTTGTATTTTTCATGCTGCTACCAGCAATTCCAGGTAAGGCCAAGAAAAGCACAACAAACTTTATGTTTGAGTCGTAAAGACACTGAATATTGTAACTATACAGGGTGTCTGTAAAAGGTCTTTACAAAAACATACCACATATTCCTTAGACCAAAATAAGTCGATTTAAGTAAAATAACCTTAGTACAAAGTTGCTTTGTTTGGGCTCCAGAGGGCCTTGAAGTTACAATTTTTAAATCGTTTTCCCATATAAATTTAAAACGGCATATGCGATTTTGCTGAAATTTGGTATATTGGTAGAGTTTTATGTGGCAAAAAAAATGGTATTAAAATTTTGTCCGATAATAATACATAGGCGTAGAACTTGATTTTTTTAAATAATTGCACCTTTAAAAATTCTACGCCAATGGAAGAAAAGGAGTTTGAGTATGAAATTTAGATTGCGCAACTCATTTACTTTAAAAAAGGTACTCTTGATAAGACTCGATTACTCTCATGGTTTTCGCTAAATTTCTGTTTTAATAATTTAGAGTGAATAGGTTTCACAAAAATATTTATTTACAACATAATCAAAATAGAGATTTTACAAAAATTGTTCAAAATGTTCACCATTTTCACGCATAAAAAGATTTATACGTCGAAGAAAATTAAAATGTATCCTTTCCATACCTTCTTCATCACCTCTAAGATTGTTTATTGCATCTTGAATACGTTGCCAGAGTTGTTCCTGATTTTCTACAGGTTCCCTGTAAACTGTGGATTTCAGATGTCCCCATAAAAAGTAATCCATCGGTGTTAGGTCTGGGGAACGTGGTGGCCAGTTTACAGGTGCGTCATTACCTCTGCCTATCCATTTGTGTGGATATTGTTCATTCAAGTGGTTTCTAACGTTTAAAGAAAAATGTGGTGAAGCTCCATCTTGCATAAACCACATATCTCTCCGAAGTTGGAGAGGTAAATCTTCTAACAATTCTGGCAACGTATTTTGTAGAAAATCCAAATAATTTTCTCCAGTTAATCTTCGTGGAAGTATGACAGGACCAACAATGAAATTACCAATTATTCCAGCCCACACATTAATTTTGAATTCGTGCTGAAAATGGTTTACCTTTATTGCATGCGGATTTTCAACGGCATAAACATGTTCATTATGGGTATTAGTTATACCTCTTCTTGTAAAACCCGCTCCATCGGTAAAGAGAACCTTCTTGACAAAGTTTGGATCTCTTTCTCTTTGCATATTAACAAATCGACAAAAACCCAAACGAATTTGAGGATCATGGACTAATAATTCTTGTTCTGGCTTCTTATGGTATGGCTATAGCAATTGTTCTCTAAGCACTTTATGAACGACATCTTCACTTACTCCTAGTTCCCTTCCAATTCGTCTGGTGCTTAATTCTGGATCTTCTTCAACACGTTCTAAAATGTCTTCTTCAACTTCAGGAATCCTAACAAAACGTTCTCTTCCATTATCAACAGTGTTGGGAGCAAAGGAACCGGTCTCCCGAAGACGTCTCTCAACAGCAGCAAAAGTTGGGTGGCTAGGTACACGACGATTTGGAAACCTTTCAGAGTACACCCTGACACTCTCTCGAGCATTTCCTTCACAAAATCCTAATGTCAGTAACATATCGGTATATTCTGCATTGGTATATTGTACAGCCATATTAATAAACCACGCATTTGTTTTTTTAATTATTGAGTCAGATAGAACACTTTCAATCGTTAACAAGAGATTAGGTGTTAAAACTTGACAATATTTTTATTTAGATGAAACTACGGAAACCAACAATAAATGTTTTTGTATACGTATTGCAGGCAAATAATTAATATTCCTCAAAAAATCGTACATGGCAAGAATCGAGTATTTTTGTTAAAAGTCTCGATTAGAGGTGTTGAAGAAGATATGAAAAAAGTACATTTTTATGTTTTTCATCGTATAAAATTTTGTCCGATAATAATACATAGGCGTAGAACTTGATTTTTTAAATAATTGCACCTTTAAAAATTCTACGCCAATGGCAAAAAAGGGGTTTGAGTATGAAATTTGGATTGGGTACTCAATTACTACAAAAGAGTACCCTTGATAACAATCGATGTACTCTCATGGTTTTGACAAAGTTTGTATTTTAATAATTATTGTGTATGTTCTAAAATTACTAAAATGCAAATTTCGTCAAAACCATGAGAGTAATCGAGTCTTATCAAGAGTACCTTTTTTAAAGTAAATGAGTTGCGCAATCTAAATTTCATACTCAAACTCCTGTTCTTCCATTGGCGTAGAATTTTTAAAGGTGCAATTATTTAAAAAATCCAGTTCTACGACTATGTATTATTGTCGGACAAAATTTTAATACCAATTTTTTGCCACATAAAACTCTACCAATATACCAAATTTCAGCAAAATCGCATATGCCGTTTTAAATTTATATGGGAAAAACGATTTAAAAATTGTAACTTCAAGGCCCTCTGGAGCCCAAACGAAGCATCTTTGTACTAAGGTAATTTTACTTAAATCGACTTATTTTGGTCTAAGGAATATGTGGCATGTTTTTGTAAAGACCTTTTACAGACCCTGTATAACTACTCGTTTTGAGTCTGTTTTGTAATAATGACATTGCCCTATCAGAAATCAAGGTAGTAATTCAATTGATTTAATTTAAAAAATATGTCTACAACTTATATTTGCATTGATGGTACTTCTTCCTATTCCATGGTGGTCTTGGATGATGTCCCTTCCTTATACACGCATTTACAAGCTGTTTTTCGTCTTCCAACATTTCTACCACTGCCCTATCCGTTGATACTATGCGATAATTGACCTTAATCTCTATGATTTCTCTATGTGTGTTGGCAAACAACTAGACTAATCCTTTCATTTATAAATAAGCATATTTAATTCGTGTTTTGTGTTAGCCAGGTAGAGTTTTCGCCTCGGCTGCCGCATTAGAAAGAGCAAGACGCCCACTAAATTGAGTGAGGATGGTGTTTGCGAACATGAATCATCACTTATGATGACTTCGACGCTCTCACTGTTGTCGCACTGCAAAATAAATTACATACTTTACTGAAACTCGTATTTAACTACAGTGGTTACAACGAGAAAAATACATTAAACTAATAACTACTGGCATTAAGAATGCAAATACTCTTTCTTAAAATACTTTTTTTCTAATTTTGGCATATAAAATGACATTTTTTGTAATCGCGACAAGTGTCAAAATGATATTCTTTATGCAACCAGTTGCATAATATTAAACATTATGAAACTGATTACGAAAAATACATTGTCACCAATTGCGAGAAGAAAAGAAATAAAAATAATACCTTTTTTGGTGTTAAAATCAATATACAGGGTGTTTCAAAAAGGTATGTCATAAATTCTTCCTCAGATAAATTACCAAAAAATAAGTGGATTTGGCTATATTTACTTATATCAAAAACTGACTCCTAACAAAGTTACAGGGCGTTAAACTAACATTCAAAAAAACGTTTTTTTTGTTGTAAAAAGTTTGCTGTTGCGATTTTTTCTTTGAGGTAGGTTAAAAGGTACCCAATCCACCAACTTTTTTTAAAGAGGTCGCTTTAAATTTTTTTCTCCTTAGAATATTGGGCCTTCAAATCTACAGCACTAGCAAAAATTTCAAAGAAAAAATGGCTACAGCAAACTTTTTACAAAAAAAATGTTTTTCTTAATGTTTAGTTTAACGCCCTGTAACTTTGTTGGGAGCCAGTTTTTGATATAGAATATAGCCAAATTCACTTATTTTTTGGTAATCTATCTGAGGAAGAATTTATGACATACCTTTTTGAAACACCCTGTATACATTATTATTGAAAGTATATATCAAAGAAGGGAAGGTTGGCTATATATAAAAATAGAATTTGGTTAGTGAACTTACAACCTAGTAATAATGTTGTTTTGGTCCTTATTTTCCATCTTAATCAGCACAAACTAATTAAAACACAATACCCAACAAAATAACCCACTTTCTTGAAAACTAAATAACTTTAACAAGCAATATAATAGCATTACAACAAGTTGTCGAGAATAAATTAATATGATCTTCTGTTTGTCTATAAAATGAATGAAGTTGTGCATATGCAACTAACAATACAAGAAAAACACAGTTTTATAATTAATTATAAAACCTCGCATTTCGTAACTGGTTGCATAAATATCTATTATGCATTTTAGAGCCTTTTGTTAAGTTAATTCCGAATTATAACCACAAACAATCCTTGTACCATAATAATTTGGCAACTGTGTTGGTTAACAATGTAAATGCTTGCAATTTGCATTTTCTAAAAAAAATTGGTCTAGTAGTTGTTCGTCGTTGTGCGTTAGTCTCCTTGAAACAGAGGTTGTTGAATTTAATTCAAATAATTTATTTACATTAATTCGTTACTATTTTCAACTTCATTTCACAATTATGTGGTAGATACGTCATCCCTTCCTCTTGTACGCTGGAGAAATGTGGACGTCGTCGCCAGTCCAAATTGTTGATCATAGTTTTATCACCTCCTTATTTTGTGATATTATGTGATAATTTTGATTAATTGCCAAAGGCGATAATGGGCCTATTGTTAAACTTGTCTCTTGTTGGTTGTGATTTATTCTCCTGAAAAAGCACTAGAAAAAACAGGGTTGTCCTTGAAACAGGGTTATTCTTTGATTTCTGTTCTGATAACTGACGTCACCGTATAGACTTCCCGCAAATAAAGATCTTCCAAGAAATAACGTGAGGACTCCGCCTATCATAATTGCTTGTAGTGGGGTTTTTGTTAGCAAAGTATTGTAGAATATCTTGCAAGATCTTTAATAGTCTTTGTAAATTATTATCATGTTTACCAAAAGTTACCAAGATAATTTTTCTTGTTGCAGTGTGACTGAACCGCCACTAACAACACAGTCGCCGACTAGTAGACGTTCCCGGCCCCCCACTCAATCCTCTGACTCTACGGCGGCGAAGCGAACCCCTTCGAGGCTGTGGAGACAACCGGGGGAACCCCCATCGCCCCAACGCTACGCCACCACCACTTCTTCTACTTCTTCAATACCGAAGCGGGCCCATAGTCGAACTAGAACGCCAGCTTCTACATCGTGATATTAATTTTTTTATATATAAATTTAAAATGTTTTCGTTTTGATTGGTTTCGTCGCGGCAAGAAAGTATAGCAAAGTACGACAAATAGATAGGTAAAAATGGAACGGTCAGTCCACATTGTATAGAAAAACTGGCACTGTCAAAATTCTTCTTCTTCGACAACAGCCTAGCAAAAAATGTAACGCCATATAGTCGCAGTTTTCTTTTTGATATTATAAACCTTTTCATTGGTTCATAAATAAATTTTTATGATGATGGTAAGTATTTATAAGCCGTTTACCAAATTAACTTAGTCGAAAAATGCCTTCCTGTAGTTCTGATGTAGAGGAGGATAATTTGAAATTTTGATAGATGTCATTACTGTCATGTCGTCCAACAAATTGTGATATTAATCGGTACGACATTTGGGATTTGTAGTTACTTTGCTATATCTTCTTTGAATCAAGGTACTTACTTTTCTATGTTGACCAGAGGATAAATATTTCTACATCCTGATGAATTATAAAAAAATGTTTTTTTTTTATATTAACAAAATATATTTCCTTTGATATTTACCCGTCAATTTGTTTGACGGTTGATTGAATACAGATTGTATCAAACTGGAATATTACTAATGCCTCACAAATAATATCAATTCTCTGGTGACGTATGACAGTATTTTTAGGTTAGAGATTCTGTTTATAGTTCTGTTTTTTATTAACGAATTTTTCGCTCAACAATAAATAGATAATTTATTTTAAGGTTTTAAAAACATTCATTCAATTTAAAAAAAAATACGCCTTTGAAAAATAGGTATCTATCATATTCGTCTACAAAAAGTTGAGTCAAACTAAAATCCTGACCTAAAAAACCTTATCATTTAAATGAATATAAATCAATTGTGAATTTAATCATAAAAATGCAGTAATTTTAACAAAAAAAAAATGTTTTATCGATTTGTATTTTTAAACAATTAGTTCTATTTATGGTTTAAGGATAAAAAAATAAGATTCTTTAAATTTAGAAAAAATTAATCGTATCAAAGTAGTATGTCATATTTAAAACTGCCTTAAAAAAATTCTTTTTTAATTAAAATTTATTTGAATGGGCAAATTATTAAAGTGGGAAAACCTAATAGGTTTTTATTTGGTTAAAAAATTACTGCATTTTACAATATTCTCTCTTGGGAAGAATTTATTTCAGATATTAAAATATAATTTCGGTAAAATTTGCATTAAATTGTACTTATATTAATTCAATTTTGATCTCATACATGTATATTTTTTTTTTTTGTAAACATAGGTTTTTTGAATGGTATTTCCTGCAAAATTCGTTCAAATTAACGTTTTTTATTGTTATAAATTAGTTTTTCCCTTGAGTCTAGGTATAGTAACATTCCAAAATATTTTTATAGCTAATTGTAAAAGGTATATATACTTTCTGACTGTGATTTATTTTACCTTTTTGAATATTTTTGATTTTTTTGATTGTCCAAAATTCAAAAATATTCGTTGTATTATAATAATAGTGTACCTAAGTGTAAAATTTGTTTTGTTATTATTTTTATGTGTAAGTCAAAACCTCCAAACGTACAATAAAAATATGTTCATTTTTGTTTATTTATTTGAAAAGAATCGTGCAATATATTATCGTTGCTCCTGTCGAGTATTACTAGCAGTAATTAGATTGTATTTATTATTTATTAAATGAAAATATAGACAACTCTTACATTTGCCCGTTTTTTAATTCACCTCAATTTCCTTTATCATGCGGCGTGGTTTAACCGTGGCCCTTAGCCCTTAAGACATTATACAGAGTCGTCATGAATACCCGTATGTTACCAGTTGTTTAAAAATTAAACAAGACAGAATAATACTTGAGACTCTATATTATACTCTTCACAATTTAACAAACCTCCTTAACTCCCATTTTCCATCCGATTTTTTTTCAGAATCGATAGACTTCAATCCCCTTATCCTTGATTTTTCCTGAAAATTTCAATTGGATATTGTGACCTACCTGACCCAGGGACCTTCGTAATTTATTCCATTTATTAAAGATAAGTTGCAATCTTAATCAACTCAAAATCCTTCATTTATCGAAAAATCTTATCTATACTTCCATAAAACATATTTCTCTTCAGGAAGTAATAATCATCAATAACAGTTAAAGCACTTGAGTCAGTTTCGGATATTAACACCGATTTAGACATGATATCGACACAAAATTCCAAGAATTTCTCAAGACATAAATATACCACCCTTTTTTATCCACCCAAATTCATACGAGGTTTAATTTTAATCAGTAGAACATCAATATTGATGATAACCTTAGTAAGTGAAGTTATATCTAATATGTTTGAGCATAAATCTTTTCTTACGGCAGCTAATACTCTACCACCTCTCGAAGTACCGGTTATATCATATTTACGGTCAGCTCTATAAACAATAAATTGACTAAGATCAAACAATAGTACTATTGCACCATGTTTCGGTAAGAAAATAACCAGAGAATTGAGTAATGGTTAAAACGTTGTCCATGAGCTTGGTCGTTTTTGTTCTAAGTCCGCGAACGTTTTGGTAATAAAAAGAAAAGTAAGAAATATGTGCATCAGGAGGAGCAATAAAGTTTCTCTTTTGAGTAACTGTAGAGGTCAGTATTTGCTATTGGGAAGGTATAATATTGTTTTTAAACTTTGTAAGCGCTTTTGTATAATAATGAATCCAGTCTAATTCAGTTGATTTTCAAATTTAGTTATATTTCAAGTTCAGTATTCCCAAGTATTCCTAAATCGACGCTCTTCTTAACCGACGTGTTTTATACCCTACCTCCTATATCGATGTTCCTACGCCCCGTCGATACGTTCCGACGACCTACCTCCCTAACGCTCTCACGTCCCGACGCTCACCCAGACAACACACCAAATCCCAGAGATATCCACAAAATATCTTTTGTGGATATCCAATATATCCACAGGATATCATAGATATCCCGTGGATTTAATATGGATATCCAAATGTCCGTCTATATCTATACCCTATTTAATGGGTATCTCCCAGACAATACACGAAATCCGAGAGATATCCACAGAATATATTTTGTGGATATTCAATATATCCACAGGATATCATAGATATCCAGTGCATTTAATAAGGATATCCAAATGTTCATCTACATCCAGGATATAGAAGATATTCTATGGATATCCAGTAAAATATCTAATGGGTACCTTTAGTAGAGGTTCATAAGTAACCAATGTATATATTCTATAGATTAACATATCCAGTGTACATCTATAATTTGATATATTTAAGATATCGAAAATTATATGCCTATAGGGTGTCGTATTTAATGCTTCATTAATTTTTTTTTTGAAAGAAGTGAAACAATGTACTGCATAATCTAAAAACATTCCATGTGAAGAAACTCAGCATTTCAGTATCGGAACGCCCTGTATTTTTAATTTGGTATATACATTCTATTCTAGTGTTAACTACTTTTGATGCCATACAGCATAGGTATAGCATGTAGAGTAGAAAGAGTATCAAAATTTTATTTTTGCAATTAAATATTGTACACCATACCTAAAAAACACCAAAATATCATTGAATATGTGAAATTAGTTTTAAACTGAATACAACGCATGAGTTATCTAACATATAAGCATTTTACAAATAAATATTATTCTTTATTGTTGTTTATTAAGTATAGTTAGGTAAAACAGAGACAATTATTATGAGCAGGCTAAATATATTTAAAAAAGTAAACTGTAGTATAAACAATTAAATAACATATTACATCTAAGCTGACGAATGAACATATAGTACCCGCAACCAAGGAAAACCTAATTACACATATACATACATTATATTGGCGCCGCAATTTCAACTAGAATTTTCTTCCTGAAAAAAAAAGACGCTCTAATGTAGAATTCCTCAAAAGGTGAAACTATATTTTAAATCAAGCTATACCCAAAACGAAAATGAAGACTTAAAAAAGACTTTTGTGCAGAGTGTCACTTAAACAATATATATAACACTAACTAATAATTTAAAAGGGCTGGATCTGTGTATTACTTATTTATCTAAAATTTAAACCTTTGGTCCAGCTAAACATAACCTAACTTTACTTGTTAAATTCTTCATGCATGCTATTGAATACAAGGCAGATGTAATAAGATTATACCTTAACCAGTGAACAAAATACCTCTTTCTAATTAATTATAACAACCATTAAACAATAAAAACCAAACAGTATCACCAACAATAATAATCACACGAAATAAGTAGGTATATATGAAGGTAGGTAAAATAACATTAATCTTAATTATAATGAAATAGGGTATCGTAAAAACGAAATGAATTTCTAGTTGTGAATTACCTAAAAAGGACACGGATTTTAACCTACTTAACAATCTTAATAACGTGAATTTAATCATTGTCTTATTTAACTAAAGTCTATCAACCTTTTACACCAAGCATGTCAAACTCGCGGCCCGGTGTAAAAATTTTTGCGGCCCGTCGCAAAAAGACCAAGACCAGTTGCATGACATAGGTAATTAATTATTTACTTAACAAAAGTGTGTATTAAAAGAAGATTTCAAATTTTGCGCTATTTGTCCCCATACTAAAATGCTTTGTCTCAAAATACAGTTGTGGAAAGAGTTTCGGATTTGGCTGCTAATATATGGAATCAGATCAAGGCAAAATCATCTTGGTTCGAAGCCTTTTCCATTGCCTTTGACGAGAGTACAGACATTGGGGGTGTTGCTCAATTAGCTGTATTTCTTCGTGCTTGCGACAAGAATTTCAACATTTTTGAGGAATTGTTGGAACTAGTACCGATGCACGGCATTACTACAGGACAGGATGTATTTAATTCTGTTTATAAACTTCTTCAAAAATATAATCTACCTCTCCCAAAATATAACCAAACACTTATGATTTAAATTTAAGACTGCAGGGAAAAGACCAAATCATCACGAACATGTGTGATCAAATTAAAGCATTCGAATGTAAGCT